TTGGTGGTGGGTGGTTATGTGCCACAGAGTCAGTTCCGACTCATAGCGACCCTGCACAGGGTTTCCGAGGCTGTAAATCTTTACGGTAACAGAAAACCTCATGTTTCTCCTGCAGAACCACTGGTAGTTTCAAACTGCTGGCCATGAGATTAGCAGCCTGACTTGTAACCACTATGATATTGAGAGTGTCTATGATAGGGAGAAAAATAGCCCCCAAAGGTATTCATCTCCCAATCCCCAGAACCTGTGAAGATGGTACAAAGGGCAAAAGCGGCCTTTGAAGATGTGATTACATTAAGGATCTTGAGATGGGAGGTTATTCTGAACTATCTAGGTAGGCCCAGTGTCATCATAAGAGGAAGTCAGGAAGGCCAGGTGTAAAGACAGAAGTCAGTGTAAAGACAGAAGCAGAGGTCGAAGTGATGTGATTGCTGGAAGGGAGCCACCAGTTACAGAATGCAGACAGCCGCTAGATGCAAGACAAGGCAAGGACCAGACTCTCCCCTGGAACCTTCAGAAGGAACACAGCCTGCCAATACCCCTACTTCAGCCTACTGAGACTTATATCCTACTATTGACCCCAGACCTGTAAGATAATGAATCTGTGTTGTTTCAAGCCATTCAATCTGTGGTAATGTGTTACAGCAACCATATGAAATGGATAGGGAACCACTGTCCACTTGTTGGTTGCCAAGTTATAATGTTGAAGTATCTGGAAGCCAGGAGTAGACTCGAGGAACTCTTCTCACACCCCACCAGGATGCACTTTCATCCACACACTCCCCAGCAGTCAATGATGGGACACAGGTGTCCGGCATGCCCAACCCTGATCCCACTGTCTATAGCTGCTCAGGATAGAATGAGACCAAAGGGTTCAGACCCATCTCCCTGCCTCCCTCCTGGTGGCAGCAACAGCCCACAGAGGAGTCCCAGCCTGGGCTGTCCTGTCTGGTGTGACAGCTCACTACCCATGAGATAGTGGTCCATCCATTCATAAACTCATTCAATGATAATTATCTCCTCATGTGTGCCAAGTAGTATGCTAAGCTCTGGAGAAACAGACACACTTGGAGTTGACAGGAGATGGCTAAACACATGAGTACATATACTTCACCCCCAACCATTCACTCACACATTGGATTTATGCAAGGAAAGGTAAAATGGGACCCGAGCAGCCAGATCAGACTTCAGTGGTAGCTGGGTAGATGAATGGTCCAAGCCAGTCTTTGATGTCAGTCTTTGTTGTCTTGGGCCCCAGTCTGCATAAAGTCTTGGTTTCAGCCCAGGGGACTTCTGGCCACCTTGGATGAAGTCTGAGACCACTTGAGGCTGACACCTGCGTTGTCACCCTCCTCTGAACACTAGGCTTTGCAGCCCTCTCAGTTCCTAGCCTCAGCCTTGTGCTGTCCTTGCAGATTGAGGGGACTCAGAAACTGCTGAACAAGGACCTGGCGGAGCTCATCAACAAGATGCGGCTGGCCCAGCAGAACGCCGTGACCTCGTTGAGTGAGGAGTGCAAGCGACAGATGCTCACAGCTTCCCACACCCTGGCTGTGGATGCCAAGAACCTGCTTGACGCCGTGGACCAGGCCAGGGTTCTGGCCAACCTGGCCCACCCACCTGCAGAGTGATGGGGGGCACCGCACCGCCCTGCCTATGTCATCTGCCCCCACCTGGTGTCGTGTACCTCTCCGCACCCCTGCCTTGCTTTTGGTCATGTGGATCTTCTCAGGGGGAAGGCCTAGGGGAGTCCTTCCCTTGACACTTTGCACGACCCCCTCTCCCCACCCTACCCCGACTCAGGCTGTAGCTGGACACAGGGAACCCTGAGGATGCTGGGGGATGGCAGAGAGGGCTCAGAAGAAGACTGTGGCTGCCCAGTCACTCCTTCCTCACACTTGCCTGGTCTGAGCCAGGGCACCTTGTGAGATGTCACTGTAGCCAAGAGCAGCTGCAGTGGCTTTATGCATGGACATGGTAGGCAGATTCGGGAACCAAGCTATTCATTCTCCTTCCTCTTTGGCCCTCAGAGGTCCCAGGCTGCACAGAGGGGCTGGGGAGGGACTTTTGTGGGAGGCAGTGGCTGGGGAGGCAAGGAATGGGCCTGGCTTTCCTGTATAGTGTACATTGGAATTTATTTAATGTATGTCTGGTCTGGACTGAAAGCTGTGTGCCCTCCTGAAAGAGGACCTGGGAGATGGTCCAGGTACGAGTAATTGGGGATCTGTGCACAGGACATGATGTAATGACAACAAACGAAACACTGGGAAGACTAGGAAGAGACAGGCCAAAACAGAACTTTGGGCCACAATCTGCCTCTCTTCCTCTCTCCCTCTTTTCTTCTTTCTCCCTTTGCTTTCTTCCCCTCCTCTCCCTTCCCTTCTTTCCCCCTTTTCTTACTCATTCTCCTTTTCTCTCCCCTTTCTCAACCATTCCCTTCCTTGCTCCCGTGTTTGCGTAAAACACTCTTTTACCTCCTTTCTATTTGACTTGTGTTTGAATTAAAATTGTATAATTTGCTTTGTGGTTTGTTTGATTTTTTAGTGTTGTTGCCTGTTCCACACATAGTGGAAGAATGATGACCTTGAGCCACAGCCTGGATAAATCGATCGTGCCTCACGTTAGTACATAATAAGCGTGGACACTGAGCCTTACCCAAGTGGTGGGGAGCAAGTGGTGACACTTGAGTAGTGGAGTTGGAGCCAATTTGTTCCTACCCCTTTGCCTTTCATGGCTGGATGGGTGGGGAGGGGTGGCCGAAGGGTGACTTTCCAGGCAGGACCACGGAGGTTCTCACCATGACCACATGAAGGATGCCAATGGCACTTGCCTAGTGGGTACCAAAGTGACCAGACTTTGGAGAGGTGCTGAGGAAGTGGCTGGAGAAGAAGACCTCACAGTTAAATGAGCAGATTATTTCATCTTTTTATTTACATGCAGGATGGAAGAAGAATGTAACATTAGTGAACATCAATTACCACACCAGGAAATGAAATGTGAGACTGGACCAGAGAGCCCAGTGACCTGGAGGATCTAGGAGGGAGGAGTTAGAACAGGAGTAGGAAGAGAGAAAATGCAGCAGGCCACTGAGGGACAGGGATCTTGGGTCTCCCCTGGGTCTGACAGGCATCCATCTTCCAGGGAGAGACACACTGGGGGTTGGAAGGAGGGAATTCCAAAGGCCTAGAAACTTCTGGCCTCTGGCTTCCTGCTGTTCTCACCCTGGGATCTGATGCCTTTTGAAGAACCTGCTTCAGTTAGCTGCTCAGCTCTGTGCTGGCTCCCACAAGGGGCCAAGGGCCTTGAATGTTCCCATTCTAAAGTGAAGAACAGACTCCACAGAGAAGTTCAGAGTGGATCAGAACACTCCAGGGGACTGAGGAGGCAAACAGTTCTGCTGCCTTTGCAGTCAGGCAGCCATCTCAAGAGTCTAAAGTTATCTAAGTCACACACCACGCTGCCCAGCCCCAGGGGCTCAGAACAAAAGCCCTGACTGCTGCTAGGAATGCCAGAGATGGGAGGGGGAAGCAAGGGAGTTGTAGTTCCTCATCTTGAGAGGTTCATGATCAGAATGAGCACATCGAATGAAGCACCCAGAGCTTAGGGCTCTGAGGAGGGAGGGCCTAACAAGCTCTGAGTCTGAACTGGATCTGTCTCCAAAGGCAGTCGATGTTGCTGCAGGATAGAGTTGAGGGGAATCCTGGAAATGGCCCATCCATTCCTCCATACAGAAGCATCAGCTCTGCATCTCCAGCCTACATTACTACTACAGTCCCTCCCTACAGGTGCCCTGCCCCACCTCTACTTCTTTCCCCTCCTGAAGCAGTCTTGGTGTTGTTAAGTGCCATCAAGTGGATTCCGACCCATAGCGACCCTGTATAGGGTTTCTAAGGAGCAGCTGGTGAGCTTGAACCACCGACCTGCTTGCAGTTCAAACAACTTTGCAGTCTGACACATTCGCCCACAACACCACACCAGGACTCCCCCTTAACACCATACTATTAGAGTATGCAGCTGAAAACCCTCCAGATTGGGAATTAGTTCAATTCCTTTCTCGGCCTGGTTTACAGCCACCCCAACCAATCTCTCCAACCTTGCCTCCCATGGCTCTCCATACTCGAGACCCACCTCAGCCTGGCTGTTCTCCTCACTTTGGGATGATGCCTAAGTCCAAAACTGCTCATAGTGGTTCCACCCCTCCCCTGGGCCCCTTCTCCCGTCTTCCTAATGCACCCCTCCTTTAACGGGTGCTCCTCTTTCTCCTAATCCCACCGCCACCCTTTGCCTCCCCCTGCTTGGTCTTCTTTATCACTAGTGTCTGCATCTCTACTTTGGGAACATCTTATACCCCGCCCCCCACCCCCACATACACATTGTCATCACCATCTCCTGAACTTCTCTGTATTCAAAACAGGTGGTGCAAGGAAGAAGAGCACAAGCAGAATACAGGACCCTGTCCAGAGAAGCAGCGACACCAGACAGGGAGGCAGAGATGGGGACAAGGAGAGGGGGAGCGATTGAGGACTCTAGATTCATGGAAAAAGAGGGACTGAGAGCTGGCAGCCAGGAGGCAAGCTTGCAGAATGTGCCCTTTGGTGGTGTAAATTATTATATATGCCTGAGTGTTTAAGGGGAAAAAAAGAGCTAAAATGAATAGCGAGAAATACTGTTAACTGCTGGTACATGGAGGGGATTATAATCATTGTAATGAAACAAGGTGTATGATTTTTGAATGTAAAACTGATGATCTGCCCTATAAACTTTCACTCACATCACAATAAAAACTTTAAAAAAACAGAGGGTACTCCTCAGATTCTTAGCCATGAGACCAGTAATGTCAAGGTGAATTATTCCAAGATTTCAGTGATTGGGCCAGTTTAGGTTATTCAGGGACAGCACCTGCAATCAGATGGTGCTCACCCCAAAGGTTTATTCTAGAGGCAGAAGCAGCTCACGATGGTCAGCGGCACCCCCTTTGAGCCAATGCAAGGGTTATGAAATCAAATCATTCCAGCCAGGTACGGAGGAAGAAAGAGTCCAATGGTGCCCAGGAAGCAGACGACGATAAACAGCCAGAGGAATATTCTATCGATTACCATGGCAACGTATTTCCAGTCTTCCTTCACCTGGAGATAGAAATGGGCTCACAGTGACAGAAGCCAGGTATTGGAGGAAGGGGAAGTGTCTTGTCCATTCCCAGGTCCTGAAAGGATCACCACCAGAGGGCAATTACCCCACCAAGACCTTGGGAAGCTAAAGGTCATTGTGGAAAGTGTGGTGGGTAGAGAGCAAAATATGGTTGTTTCAAGTTTCAAAGAATCCTCACCTAATGGCCCCTGACATCTTTCATCCTATTCACAAGGTCCAGAATCTTTCCATTAGCTCCTTAAGTTCCAGGGAAAGGAGGACTAGGTATCCAGGTAAAGGTCAGGGACTCACTCAGAAGCCTGAACCCTCTCAAAGGGACCTTCAGTGATTTAAATGCAATGCCCATCTGTGACAGGATGGTGAATACTTTGTGCTCCATGTTGCCTCCCCTCTCACCAGCCTATCTGCAGGAACTGGCAAGAGGGAAACTGGTGAGGGTTAGTACAACCCAAGAAAGACTGGGGGTCTTTTGTGGAACTAGGAACTTTTACAGACTTGTAGGCTCACAACGTAGGCAAAGGAGTCTGGATTCCTAGCCATTCCTAAATTGTTGTTGTTGTTAAGTTCCATCAAGTTGGTTCCAACTCATAAGGAGTGGCTGGTAGATTTAAACCATCAACTTTGTGGTTAATAGTCTAGTGTTTATCCTACAGCACCAGACCGGGACTCCATTCTCAGATTAGATAATAATTAATTTTTCTTATCCACTGAAAAGGCCACCTAGTAGTAACTTTATGGCCTTTCATCCTTCCCTAAGTTAGTAAGTTAATAGGTTAATCAGAAGAATTCTGTGATCCTGGGCAAAGTACTGCTCACCTAATAATGTGGGACATGGGGAGGTGGGGGTGGGACCCCGTCTGGTACAACCAAGATTCTTCAGAGTTTGGGTAAATACTGAAATTCACAATCTTCCCAGAGCCCAACAACAAGGAGAAGGAGGAAGAGAATACTCAGGACAAAGGAGGAAGGCCAAAACATGAAGCTAATTTGTTTTATCATTCCCAGGAATATTCCCTCTGCCTTCCCATGTCTCTCCACCTCCCACTATATACAGTGGGGTTGAGAAATGACCAGCATGGGGAAGTGTAGCTTCTAAAACTACCCCCCCCACACACACACACACCTTGTCTATGAGTTAGGCTTTCTTGGTTTCCATGGTAAATGTCCTGAGAGTCTGGATGGCACAAAAGGCTAAGCACTCGACTACTAGCTGAAAGCTTGGTGGTTTGAACCCACCCAAATGAACCTTGAAAGACAGATCTGGCAATTTGCTTCTGAAAGGCTACAGTTTTGAAAACCCTATGGAGCAGTTCTTTGTACACATGGGGTAGCCATGAGTTGGAACAAACTCAATGAAAACTAACAAGAATCTTCCAGCTAGTTATTACCCATCACTGTGTATTCCAGGCACCAAAGGGCCGTAACTAAGTGACACGGGTCCTCAAAGGAGGAGAGTGAGTTGGCACAAGTTAACCCCTGTGGTTCCTATTAAGCTGGTGGTTTAGTAGCTCCAACTTACCGAAAAGTCAGCATCCTCAGACCTCAGATGATCAGCAATATAGTGCACACCTTCCAGTGCCTTCTGTATGCTAGGTGACAGCAGGAGCCCACTCTCCTGCACTTGGACCTCAGCCTTGGAACCTGAGGCCTCTTGATGCAGGTCATCGTGGCTATAAAGGGCACCTACCAAATGGGGTGAATGATCAGCACACACCCATCTGTCCTCAACGTCCTCTTCCTCCTCTCTCTTTGCATCCACATTGGTCTCCAGCCAGTGATAGGAAGGTGTGAGTTTCAGGCCAGGGGGGTCACAGAGCTCCAAGGGTGGCAGGGGCCGATTCATCAGAAGCCACCGGGGCACACAGCCCAGAAAGGCCACTCGTACCCAATGGGGCATATTGTGAGTGCTGGCAGAACGGTGGTGGACATTGAGCACAAAGACAGTGATGACGATGGAAAGAGTGACAAAGATCATTGTGAAGAGCAGATATTCACCGATCAGTGGGATGACCAGGGAGGTGGAGGGGATGATCTCAGTGATGAGCAGAAGGAAGACGGTAAGCGACAAAAGCACGGAGATGCAGAGGGTGATCTTCTCCCCACAGTCCGAGGGCAGGTAGAAGACAAGCACTGTGAGGCAGGAGATGAGCAGGCAGGGGATGATGAGGTTGATGGTGTAGAAGAGAGGCAGCCGCCGGATGACGAAGTAGTAAGTGACGTCAGGGTAGATCTCAGCACAGCAGTCATACTTCTTGCTGTTGTAGGTGCCTGTGGCATTGATGATGGCCCATTCACCACTCTCCCAGTAATCCTTCAGGTCCACCATCTGCTCCATCTGCTCTAGGTCAATCTTGGCCTTGTCATAGGTCCAGGAGCCAAACTTCATCTTGCAGTTCTGCTGGTCGAAGGGGAAGAAGGTGACATCGATGCTGCAGGAACTCTTATAGATGGCGGGGGGCACCCAGTGCACTGTGCCCGTGGAGAAGAGGTGGGCCTTGGTCATGTGGGTCACTGCAAACTCACCATCTGCACTGGGGAAAGGAAAAGAGGCGAAACTTTACACACATCACCTGACCAAGCCAGGATGCTCCAGTAGTTTAAACCCACCCAAAGGAGCTTTGGAAGACAGACTTGGCAATTCAGGTAACTGGCAGGACAGAGACTTCAATAACCAAGTTGAACCTATCCAAGTTGTTTGGATTTTATGTAAGTACATGGGACTTGCCCAGCACATAGAAATGTATAATCATCAGTGTTGTCTTTTTCAAGAACATTTTTCAGTACAGAAGAAGACACTTTAAGGAATATAATAAAGTACCAAGAATTCAGTACCGGGCCACAAGGTCAATTTAAACTGCAAGTTTGGAAACCCTATACAGGGTTACTTTGAGTCAAAACCAACTCGATGGCACTTAACAGTATTAACATTTTGATATATCTCGTTTGTCAAATAAAATATTTTAATATATTTATGACCATGGCATATTTGTGACTTTACTGTCTGTTTTTAGTCAATGTTTTCAAGTGATTGCTGGTGAGTGTATTTTCTCTCTTCTTGGGACTGTGTCTTTTCCACTTAGCACCCTTAGTTCCTTGCACAGAAAAGATTTGACATTTTTACTGGTGAAGGTCCATTCTTGATTCCACCCACTTAAACAGGATTTTTAAGCCAATTTCATCCACAAGGGTCTCCATCAGAGCTATGGGGCAGAGGAATATAAGACCCAACCCCTGCCCTTTAAAGAGCAATGAGGAGAAGGACACAGCCATGAACAAGTACAACACAAGGCGGGCAGTGTCACAAAAATGCTAGGAGAGTGTTCCAACTGCTCCACAAGGCCTATTCCAGAAAATTCCCTTCCAGCTGGAGCCAGCATGGTTATCGTGAAAGTTGTCATTTGAACAAGGTAGGAAAAGCACTGACCTGCTAACTGCAAGGTTGGTAGTTCAAACCCACCAACTGCTCCTCAGGAGAAAGTTGAGGCTCTCTGCTCCCATAAAACTTTACAATCTCAGAAACCCTATTTAGGGTCGCTTTGAGTCTGAATCAACTCAGTGACAGTTGGTTTGGTTTTTTTCTTTGGTTGATGATGGCTGGTGGGATTTGGTGTACAGATGCAGTACTTCTTCAGAACCCGTGTTCCCCTGGGAGCTGCCATAGTTCGGCTCCATGAATTAGCCATCAATACACAGTTGCTTCCCCCTTGAATTCTCTCCCCCTAGCTCAGAAAATCGTAAGAATGCATTGTTGTTGCTGTTCGGTCCGTTCCAATTCATAGCGGCCCAGTATAGGATTTCCCAGAATCCTGGTATGGTGCTGTAGGATAAGCATTTGGACTACTAACCACACGGTCTGCAGTTCAAACCCACCAGCCGCTCCTTGGAAACCCTATACAGTTGAAACCGACTGGACTGCACTTAACAGCAACATAAGGCTTGTGAGGTTGTAATTTTTGGCTGGAGCAGAAAGTCTCATCTCTCTCCCGAAAAGAATATATAGGAAAGAACTTCCATTCCTATGTATACTCTGAATAGTTATCAGCAGGAATTATAGGTAGGCTGGAAACAGGAACTTTGAAAGCAAGTAACAAACAGATTAGAGCAAAAGTTTGTTTTGTTTCACTTTAAAAGTTATTTCTGTCATCACACAAAATTGTCACTAGATGGTAGCATGCGCCCCATTTTGAGGAAGGCCTGGGCAAGAAAAGCAATTTTCTTCACATCCTCCTGTTAACCTGGCATTTATATGTGACAGGAGATCCTTTTTTAAATGCCTGCAAAATCTGGGCTTGGACTTTTGTCCTAGCAGAAGAATGTGGTGTTAAACTCATGTAACACTGACTTTAGCTTTCTTTGGTAACTTTAAAACAAGAAATCTTGTCTGACACTAGGATTTCGCTCCTGACTTCTTTAAAACACACAGAAACAAAACCAAGGATCCTGAGTGCTGCTCGGAAACACAGAGATAAGGGATGGGCATCTGGGAGCCTTTCAGCAACTGCCAACACCAGGCATCTGCTGTGTTAGCCCTGCTAGGCAATGCAGTGATAAACACAGTGAAGTTAAAGGGCTTTGGTCTGGCCAGACTGGAAGATTGAAAGGAAACATTAGTGCTTCATTCTGATCTGCCTGGAGACACAAAATCCTCTTTATTTTGTTTAAAAATAGTGTTTTCAAGGTGCTTCTTGTTGCTGAGTACTGTCGTGTAGGTTGGTTCTGACTCGTAACATCCCTGCATGGGGTTTTCTAGGAGCAGCTGGTGGGTTTGAACTGATGATTTTGTGGCTAGCAATCCAGTGCTTTTCCTACAGTGCCACACCAAGACCCCAGTTTTAAGGTTGCTGTTGTTGTTGTTAAGTGATATTGAATCCATGCAAATCAATTGGAAAATGCTGAGTTAACTAGGGTTCTTTCCTACAGAACTTTTAACAACACTGTGTCTTGACATTTCCCAAAGGATGTGGTGTTATGACATGGAACACTATCCAAAATTAATTGACCATAAAGCCATTTTCCATACCTATTTATATCTCAAGGAACTAAATCTAACTGCTGTCAAAGCTGATTCCAACTCAGGGTGACTCCATGGTTTTCAATGGCTATAGAGCTCTCAGAGGTAGATCACCAGGCCTTTCTTCTGCACTGCCCCTGGGTGAATTTGAACCACCAACCTTTCGGTTAGTAGCCAAGCATTTAACCGTTTGTGCCACCAAGGGATTCCAGTGATTCTTAGAAACATTTTTAGTCAAGCATAACACCAAATACCTTTAATTTTAACGTCTTGATTTCTAGACAAAGAATTACATGATAACAAACATAATTTAATGGGCAGTGGTGGTGGTTATGTGCCGTGGAGTCGGTTCTGACCCATAGCGACCCTGAATAGGGTTTCTGAGGCTATAAATCTTTATGGGAGCAGAAAGCCTCATCTTTCTCCTATGGAACATCTGGTAGTTTCGAACTACTGACCTTGAGGATAGCAGCCCAACTCATAACCACTATGCTACCAGAGATCTTTTAATGGGAAGTAGTGATCTCTCATTTTTTATATATAAAAATTAAGGGTTTTGCCCACCAGAATTTTCTCTAGATGCCCCTGTTTTCATTAATTTCTAATCATGATGATGTGGTGCTGTAGAATCAGCACTGAACTGCAAATCACAAGGTCAGCAGTACAAACTCATCAGCCGTTCATTGGAAACCCTATGTTGTTGTTGTTGTCAGGTGCCTATACAGAGTCACTATGAGTTGGAACTGATTCGACGGCACTTAACAACAATCATGATGGTCATCTTTTTTCCCCCTTCTGGAACACAAGGCAAATATAAAATGATGTGATTTTTTAAGTACACAAATCAAGTTTGTCGCTTAGATGGTGTGAGTCCTGCCTGCTACTCACAGATTCCAAGTGTGACGGATTCTTCAACATACAAATCCTTGGGCATATTTTCAGAACTCACACTACATTAAAAAAAAACACAAAACTACAACTTAGCATTGACAAATCTTTGTTTTACTAACATAGACCTCAATAATTTGGGGTTTTATTAGTAAATGAAAGAAAAAAACACACAAATAAAAGAAATGAAAAGAAAGAAATTCTTAGCAAACTAGTTGTTGAGTCCAAACTGAGGTGATGAATCTGGGACGTTAGCGGGAATCCCTCCCACATCCAGCCCAGCCCAGCCCAGCCTCCCGACAGGCTCTGCTCTGCCAGACTCCTCCCAGGACCCCAAAGAATTCCTACTTGTTATAGAGGACAATGTCCGGGATCCAGATCATCTCAGAAGGGACTCGCAGGGATGTGATGTTGTTGAAATCGGCCGGGTTCCAGCGCAGCTTGTAGTCGCTCCACTCCTGTGCAGGGGGAAGAAAACGTGTCCCTGAGGGCTTGGCCTGGCCACTAACTGATGACTGCCCACACTGACTGTGTGTGGGACCCCCTGAGGCCAGGCTTGAGCATCTGGTCAGGAACACCCACAGCTCCTCCCCAAACCCCAGACAACACAAAGGCTGTGATGCCTGGAAAGGGCTCTGGTCTAAGAATCAGGGTCCGCCTAAGATTACCCACTTCTGAATTAACTTCAGTTCTGAAAGTCTGACATCCCCAGAAACCCTCAGTCCCTGTGTACCAAAACAGTTGGCCACCCTAGTGGGATCTTTAGTCCTCATTCAGTCACTCTCCAGCTGGACACTGTCCACTTTGCAGCTACTTTGCTCCTATACAGCAGTGATATTGTTTGAGCCTGTCAGTGTACTGTCCTTCACACCCCCATTTAGGAATGCCCTCAGTGGAGACTGGTCATGCTGAACACATACCAGTATTTCTCCATTTAACAGACAAAGAACTGAGGTTCTAAGAGGTAAAAAAAACAAACACCTGAGACAGGGGAATTAACCTGGTGCAGTGGGTTAAACTTCAAGCGGATAACCATAATGTATACACAGTTCAAACCAAATCCAAGGGAGAAAAATGAGCTGTCTGCTTCCATAAAACTTTGGAAACCCCGTGGAACAGTTTCACTCTGTCCTATTGAGTTACTGTGAGTCGGGATTGAAACGATGGCAGTAGGTTCGTTTTTGTTTGGTTTTCAAACTGTGCTCTAGAGAGCCCCATTAGGGTCTCAGCATTAGGAGGGATGCTCTGCACCCCACTTCTGCTTCTACCAAAATGTTTTCAAGGGAATCTTTTTATCTCCCAGAACCCCAGGTTGGTTATTACTCTCTAAGGTTTTTCTTTATGGTCTTATCACAAGCTTTGATAACATATCGATTTGAGTTTTCAGAAAGTAGACACAAGAGAAGAAAACTTGTCTTCTCGCTTCTTGTTTCCCAAACTTTAAGCACTCAAGTACCAACTTCATAATTTTTTGTCATATATGTGGCAAGGTAGGATAAAGCACTAGACCACAAGGTTGGTTTGAACCTCAAAGTCGGCAGTTCAAACTCACCAGCTGCTCTTTGGAAACTCTATACAGGGTCACTATGAGTCAGAACCGACTCGACAGCACTTAACAACAACAACAACATGTGTCACATGTCACTTATTTAATAGTTTTCTTTAAGAAGTTCTTGAACAGCACAAATGGTTTAGGACTTGTCTACCCACCAGAGCCTCAGGAGACAGGGCTGGACCTCTGCTTCTGAAAGGGCACAGCCTTGAAAACCCTAGGGAGTGGCTCCACTCTGATACATATGGGAGGTCACGAGTCAGAATCAACTCCGTGCAAACAGCCACAGCAACACTTGTCTCAAAATCACTTTGGTATTTTTAAACTTATTTAAAATAATATTTTAATTTTATATCACGAATGTAACTGGGAAACTAACAGCATTTGAAAAATCGCAGAAATATAATTCTGTGACTTTTTTCAACGTCATCAAAAAAAAAAAAAAAAAAAGGTTTGTGAACCAATGAAAATCATCTCACTAAACCACCATTGGTACCCAAACCATCCCTGGGGAAGATCTTGGTCTAGCAGTGGTGATTGACTGCTCATCTGTATGAGAAAGGCTTACAAAAGAGCAGAAATAAGCATATTAGTAAATGTATCCGGAAGGAGCTCTGCTAGTGTAGTGATTACAAATTGGGCTGCAAACCTCAAGGTCAGCAGTTTGGAACTACCAGCTGTTCTGTGGGAGAAAGATGAGGCTTTCTGCTCCCGTAAAGATTTATAGCCTTGGAAACCCTGTACAGGGTTGCTATGAATCGGAACCAACTCCACGGCACGTAACTACCACCACCAAATGTATCTGGATTTCCTGAGAAACTGGCTAACAGTTTTGAAAGTGATCATCTTCACCAATGTGCATGGTCGATCAAGCTTTTGGTTCTACCAGCATTTCTGGGGTGCCCACTCCAAGCAAGGTGATAGCATTCAATTCCTCACAAGCATGTGGAAGGTAGCTTGTGTTCTTCCCATGTGGCAGAAAAAGAGGCCAGAAAGGTTAAGTCACTTGGCAAGTACCTCATGCCTGACTGCCATTCTAGGACTTCTTACCCTGTCCATGGGGATAATTGGGTCAGCCCAGGTCAGCGGACTCTGCCCTCACCTGTTTTAGCCAGACGTTGGTGGTCATCATTTGGTTTTTCTCATCCTGGTAAGTAGTGAAGAGAGAGTCAGAGCAATTAGAATTGCAGAGCCAGCGCCAGAAAGCAGTGTGGTGTGAGATGGGCTGTATCAGGGCCCCAGTCACTGGACACCCAAGTCCAATCCATCTGCCCACCCCCGCATCTGCCACTACCACACTGACTCAAATTCTTCAGATCAACAGCCTGGCCACTTGGGTCCTCTTGGCTGTGCCAAATGGAGCAAGAAGGCATCTAGGAAGTCCACTGGAGGAGACTCGGGGATCAGGGAGATGGCAGAAGAGGAGCAGCTTGGGAAAAGCCTGGATTGGATCACCTTTGTGGTCCACCCAGCCTCAAGGGAGAGCCTCTGACTGACCGTGCTGACTGAGGTGAACTGAGGATGGATGGAGGACCCTGAGAAAGGAGACAGACTGCTCTGAGGGCTGATTCTGAGAGGACAAAACGTGGTAGGAAAAACACACCACATCGATGAGCTGAGCGATGGACAAGCCGAAGCGTATAATCACCACATCCGAAGTGTTGGGCACTGGCCGCGCCCAGCGGTTGTAGTCCCCAAAGAGGTGTTTGAAGAGACGATCTTCAGCTTGCATGTGGGAGCCTCGCTGTCCCAGCACTGTCAGAGAGGGAGAGAAGGGCTGGGGTCTCCAGGAATCCTCTCATGGTGGCTGGGCACTTGGTTCTGCTCCCTCTCCCCTCAAAGGAGAGGTGCTTAACCTCATCAAGCCTCAGTTTCCTCATCTGGGAAATGGGTATAATAATTCAGAACCTTTCTCAAAACATTGTTGAGGTTGAAATCTAATAGTGTGGGTCAGATCTAGGAATCCTGGTGTGACGCTGTAGGATAAGCACTCAACTGCAAGATTGGTTTGAACCACAAGGTTGGCAATTCAAGAAACTCTATACAAAGTCACTATGAGTCAGAACCAACTCAACCACACTTACCAACAACAACAGGTCAGAGCTTAGCACACAACCTAACACAGGGTTGGAGCTCATGAAATGTTAGCTACATAAGAAGTAGTGGATGAGATACAGGGACTGAGTCATGATTGGAATGGGGGTGGTATCATGTTAGGATGCGGGAACGTCTCTTTATTACATGACTAACCAAGGGGGC